GTGAGGCGACTCTGAAGTCAGGTCACTGCGGGAGCAGGGTCTGGGGCACTCGTGTGGAGGCGGCGGGGGTTGGGGGGCAGGCTGGCCGGGCCCTTCCGACCCCGCGCCTACCTCACCCCTCCAGTGTGGCCCCCCTGGCAGAGCCCGGACCTGGTGGGGAGGGCCGGGTGTGCACCTGGCCGGAAACCCTGGACCTCTGTGTGAGTGCGGCCTTGGCACTCTGGTCGGAGAGGATGCTGAACGGAGAGGACCGAGTATTCTCTGTGCTGAAGGGGAGCCTGCCCACCCGCAGCCAAGGGCTGCTGGCCGACCGTCCCCTTGACCCACGGAGCCGGTGTGTGGGGACCCGAGTCATGGCCTTGAGAGAGCTAAGGCCCCGAGGCTCCCGTGAGGATCACTCAGCCCGCCGCCCGCCCACCGGACAGGGCAGGGACCCACAGCTGCCACAGCCTGTACGACAGCCAGCTGGTCCCCGGGATGGATGCGAGGACGGGATGTGGGAGCCAAGCCTGCTGGGCGGGGCCCCAGCCCCACGGGGCCAGTCTTGGGCTCAGCCCCTCACCGGCCAACCTGCCCGACCTGGGGCTGCGTCCCGTCTGACCACCAGGCTGCTGCTTCCACGTCTACGGCTGCTCCTTGTCCCTGACCTCCTCCGCCGTGTGGGGGACCGTGCGGGGGGGGGGGGGGCCGGCCTGCAGGGGCAGGGGCTGGGCAGGGCACTGCTTCCGGGGCGCCCCTGGCACACGCGCGTCACCTCAGGCCCATGGTGAGACACCGCCGCACAGAAGCTAAGGGCGGCCTGCTGGTCAGCGTGGTCTCCTTCACCCACCGAGGCTGGCGCAGAGGCCGAGGCGCCATCCTTCTGGAGGCCCCAGGGGGGCAGGGCCACTGGGCGCGACCTGGGATTCCACACTGGGTCCTCGGTCTCAAAGGGACGCGGGGTGCGGAGGCTGTCACGGGCCACCTGGAACTGCGGGTGCTGATGACAGTCCTGGCGGTCACCTCAGGTGGCCACACCTGCAGCCTCAGGATGTGCCTGGCAGTATTTCTGTGCTATTTCAGCAAGGGTTCTGTACAGCTGAAATTGTTTCAAAATAAAAAACAAACAAACAAAAAAACCCCAAACCCAGAAAGTGTCCTGGCCAGTATGGCTCCGATGGAAATCATCCCACAAAGCAAAGGGCCACGGGTTCAATTCCTGGTCCGGGCGAACGCCTGGGCTGCAGGTTCGGTCCCCAGCAGGGGCGCCTACGAAAGGCAACCAGCTGATCGATGTTTCTCCCTCCCCTACCTGCTCTCTCTACAACAAACCAACCCAAAGAGTGATGGCGTGACTTCAGAGGGTTTCAAAATCTCTGTTGAGGATTTCCCGCGTTAACCGCACCGGCTGGGCCTCTTCCTTAGAAACCAACCAACTGACAACGTGGAGTTTATGCAACAGGCTCGGGAGGAAAACGAGCGGGGAGGAATTGTCCTTTTGTGCAGAGCAGTAGAGAGAATCATCATCCAAAGTCAACAGTGCTGACTAGAGAGAGGTCAAGTTGAACTGACATGCAAATCCCGGACATGCGCTCGTTACAAAAGAGCCCAAACGAGCTTTTACAGAGACGCTGGGCGAGGACCGAGGACCCTGCAGAGGTGCCTGCGCAACCAGGGCGCCTTCGGAGCTGCCCTTGGGTGTCCTCCAGCTGAATGGGAGGCAGGTCAGTCAGCCCTTCTAGGTCAAGGCCGCCTTCAGTTCATGGGCCCCGGGCCCCAGCAGCCAGGGTTTGAGCATGATGTAAATGGCTGTGACTTCAGACTGAGCTGGCTCGGGAGGGCCTCCAGCTGGCTGTGGGACCCGCCATAAAATGAAGCAGCGGGCAGAGGTCTGGACGTGAGGCTGGATTCTGGCCACACTCTGTCCCCAGGCCCCAGTTTCCTGTCTGGCGAGCCCTCCAGCTGCAGACGACTTCGCTCAGAGCCTCCCCCGCAGCTGCTCCTTCGGCGAAACCCCAGCCTCTTGTAGTGTTTCCATCTGTTTGGCAGCCACGTCCCCAATGTGATCTGACAGAGTAACAGGGACAAGCCTTCATGATCCCTGGGAACGAGGGAAAGCCCCCCGCCTCCCAGCTCTGAAGCTCCTGACGATTTACAAAAATAAGATTTACAAAAATAAAACGGGGGATAAGGGAGAGGTGGCCCGCCCCATCACTAACAACCCAGAGGGGCTGCGGTCCCGTGGGTGGTGAGCGAGCTCCCACCCCTAGCAGTCCCTCGGGTCCACCTCACCCACCACCACCACCCATGGTTGGGGGGTGGGAGTAGTGAGGGACACCCTGCTGTGCCACCCCCCTGCCGCTGTCAGCCGGCCTGGGTGACGCTGGGGCAGCGCCCCGTCTGACTGCACACGGCCCCGGCAGGCGGCTGGCTGTGGCAGCACGGGACCTGCCCCGGCCCCCAGGTCTGCTCCGCCTCCCGCTAACACGGGCCTCCTCGCCGGCAGTCTCGGGGAAGAGCCCAGAGCTCGCAGTGCCCTGCTACGGCCGACGCCCCTCTGCAGGCCCAGGGACGCCCGGGGGGACTCCCCGGCGTCGGCAGGCTAAAGGACAGGGGCCAGTTGGCCCTCCAGGGAGATCAGGCCTCTGGAAAATGGGTGTTTCAAGAAAGAGGAGGAAACGTAAAAACAAAAAGAACCTGAGTGAAGGACCCTGGAGTGAGACTGGAGGAGACACCCTCTCCTCATGACCGACGCACTTGGAGGAAGAGAGAAAGCACTCCCAGCTCAGCCCAGGGTACGAACCGAAGGCCAGAGGAAAACCGACCTGTTACCACTCGAGTGGCCAGGGTGCGCGTCCTGCTGGGCCCAGAAAATGTGCCCAGGAATAAAATTCAGCAAACGAAAGAGACAATCTGAGGAACCCATGGGAACGAACCAGAACAGCCACGAACGAAACCTCAGGACTCGTGCTCCGAGATGAAGACATGGGTGTGAGTGGCAACCCCAGGGACGGGCAGGGCCCGCCCCGCTGCGTGTGTGGGCGATGGCCCGTCTGCGGAAGGCGTGCAGAGCCCCCGCGGTCAGCTGCAGTGAAGCGGCGACGTCACCCGGCAGTAATGCAGGACACTCAAGCAGCAGGAATGAAGACCCTGCAGGCATCGGAAGGACCGAAGTACCGAGTGCCAGGTGGAGCCGGGATCTGGGGACCCCTTTCCTTTGACGTCACTCCCTGCTAGCCTCAGGAACCACCTCGCCCCCTTTCAATGGAGTTGTTGAAGGGCCACGGGGTCCCTGCGGATGGGTGTCGGTTGCTGTGTGGACTGTCACACGCAGGGCACTCGGCCGGCTGTCCTGAGATGCTCTCTGCAGAGGTGGGGCGCCAGCCACGGATCACGAGAACGCTGGTGAATCAGTCCTGGCTCCGGCCTGCTCACCGCCGGGTGACTCACAGCTGGAGCCCGGCCTGGTTCCTCTCCTCATGGGAACGAGGCCCTTCCTTCCAGCTCCACCCAGGAGAAAACCGTGGGGCACATGCAGGAAGCACATGCCCTGCTCGGGGGCACACACAACGTGACCACCAGGTCCCTCGCTCCTCGAAAAGACGTCTGAAGAAATCCTGGCTCCCGAGGTCTCAACTGGCCTTGGGGAGCGCCATCCACCATTTACATCAGGAAAATGTCCACCCCGTCCACGTTTAGCTTGTTAGATGGTCAGACAAATCTGGACCCCCCAGTGCATTTTGAGGGCTTCCTTCTCTCACAGAAGCACCGTCAGAGGAAGGTGATCCCCCTGCTCACCCCCAAAACAGTGACCAGACTCCCCAAGGTCGTCGCCTCGGTGAAGACAGCCAACCTCCGCCCCTCCACTGCAGCAGTGCCGGCGGCTCCCAGCGCGAGCGAGCACACCTGGGCCAGCACACTCGCCCCCACTCGTGAGCTGCCAGGCCTGGGGTGCACAGACACTGGTTTCCCCGCTTTCCAGCGCAGCTCAGCTCAACCGTAGCTTGTTTTCAGACACGCAGCTGCTTGCCTCCTGGGGGGCCTCTGCCCCTCCTCCCGGAGTCACTATGGTGGAAGGAGGCAGAGGGAATGGGCTGAGTCTTGTTCTTCCTGCTGTTCACTATGGAGAGTGGAGGGCGGGGAGGACAGGGGGATGGGAGGGGCCCCCAGCGTGGTTGGGGTGACTGCGAACCCCCGGGAGCGGCTGACTGGCTGCCGGCCTCTGGCAGGCTGAGCCACCCCATCCCAGCTGTCTGGCCTGTCCCGGTCACGTGTGGCTGGTCCCCACTCAGCTGCGCTCAAGTGAGGTCTGAGTGGGATTTCAGAGATTTAGTATGAAAAACGAAACTCGCTCATGTTTTTGGCGTCGATGACACGTGGAACTGAAAATATCCTGGCGGGGCCGGGGCCGAATCAGTAATTACCTCCCACTTCCCGTTTCTACGTTTTGGTGGTGGCCGCTACGAACCGAGCGCCCGTGCCACCTTCTGCCCGTGGGCAGCGTCGGTCCACCCAGCCGACCAGCCCCCGTCAGAACCGGCCCCTCCTCACCTGCACCCGCCTTCGGAAGCAGTAAACAGAATTCTGCTGACGGCAGTGGCCAGGCCGCCCTGCCTCCCTCCTGGTGCTGACAAGCCCCCGTGGATGCCGCTGCGGTGACAGGTGTGGGAGGTCCTTTAACCAGGACTGAGAGGACGCCACCGTGGCTGCCCCCTTGCCGGACCCTCTGCAACAGCCCCGGGGAAAGGCCGTGGTGCTGGGGGCTGGGACGGCCGCCCCCCAGCTGTTGCGGTTGAACCTGCAGCAGCTCAGGGACCAGGCCTGTTCTCAGAACCCTCTGTGGAAAGCAAAACTTCGCGGGCAGATCTCAGGTGAGTGAAGACGGGTCACGTGAGCACCGCTGCATGGGCAGCTTCCATCCGATTAAGAAACTCCTATTCTGAGACAGAGGACGACAAACTAGAACGTCAACAGACAAACCAGGACGGTGAAGTTTCTGCAAACTGCCTTAGATGAAACAGTTGAAGAATTCAATTAAATATTTATTGAACAAATGCAAAACAAATGAACTCAGCGGTTTTAACCTGGAGGTACAACGAACAGCTCCAACTACGCAGCGGGCTGCCACACAGAAACCAGGGACCTGCTCAGCACTTCCCCGAAGGCAGGACTTGAACCAGGGGTGAGCGGGAGCAGCCGACGGCCCGCAGGACAGCCATACGGCATGTGTCACCTAACAGCGTCGCCACAGCTCACGACACCTGTGCTGCCCGACACTGGTGCACGCTCATGCTCACACTCACAGCGAAGGGTCTGCGGTCGACCGGCCTGCCCCTGGGGAGCGGCTTCTGCTCCTCACCTGCATGTCAGCGTCCTGGGTCAGTGACCCGCGGGAGGTGAGGAGAGGAGAGGGCGTGTTCTCCAAAGCGGGCGCAGCAGAGCGCCCCACCCGGGACACTGCCCCAGGGGACAGTCCTCCTCGAACCCCAGGTGGGCCCCGTAGCCACCACCCGTGGCAGGGTGTCGGCGAGCCAGGTGTGGGTGGGCCAGAGCACCCGGCACTGTGCCACGCGTGGACGCTGCGTGTCCCAGTCCCCAGGACATGGGAACTGACCGTCACCCCCACAGCTCCCCCCAAGCTGTCAGACGTCCCCAGGGCGAACAGCCGGCTGCGGCAGCTACCCAGCACGGTGTTTAAGGACAAAACGTGTGTGGCGTGCTTTCTATTACACGTGTATTTCATCACATGCTCAGTACAGAGAGCGGAGGTGCTCCATCCGGCCGACGCACTGAAAACACAGTCTGCACCTCCGTGCGTGTCGGGACCCTGGGCGCCACAGGCGGCTGGAACCGAGGGCGTCAGTTCTCCAGGAAAGCCACGTAGTCCGTGAGCCGGGCCAGCTGCTGCTCGTTGGGGACCGGCGGGACGGGGGCAGGCTCTGCGTGAAAGTCACAAAGTCAGTGCCAGTGTGACACAGTGCTGGTCCCGCCACCCAGCATTTAATGGTAGGGAGACCGCTGCTTTTGTACGCTTTCGGAAACAGGCCACAGTGTCTGGAACGCTCACGAGCCGCTTCCCCCAACTGGGAGCCCAGCCCCGTCTGGTGTCCCTCTGAGGAGCCCGGCTCTTCCCAGGAGAGCCCCGCCCGCCTGGCCTCTGACCCGGTGGGTGAGTCACCGAACGCTCACCAGGTGACAGGCACTGCTCTGTGCTCTGGGGGGGGGGGGGGGGGGGGGGGGTGTCCCACACCCAATGGACAAAAGTGCCAAGAACCCCCAGGCCAGGGAGCTCCGTCCTCCCGTCTCCCCAGGCTGCCCCGGACACCCCCCCCCCCCCCGCACAGGCACCCGGGAGGCTGGGCCCTGGGGGCAGGTGCTCAGGGGCAGCTGTGGACGGGAGCCCGAAGCGCACTCTCCTAACCAGGGATTATCCCAGATACCAAGTACGGGATTCAATCTCTGCACAAGGTTAGCACTAAGAACTGACCACAAAAAACACAGAGCATGTTTGAAATGAGCACACGAAAGGACATACCTGATAAAGGGATAAACCTGTTAAAGGAAACATCCAGGGCCCCTGCAACTGAAGAAGCAAAAGTCAAAGTCAAGTTTGCAGGCGTCAGTACGAAAGATTTTCACAGACAGCACGGTTAGTGCATCACGCACGGACGGCCACTCGTTTCTCAACAGAGAACAGCCGCGCCCTATCTGGCTAGGCTGCCCCTTGGCACCTCGCTGGGCCAGGGCCGAGGCTCCCCGGGCAGTGAGACCCTCCGGGCCGAGCCCCGAGGCCCAGGCAGCACTGCACGGCAGAGGCCACAGCAGGACCTCGGAGTGCGGATGGGGTTCTGAACGCGGGCGTGAAGCCCGCTCCACGGCCCTGGCAGCAAAGGGCTCCCCGGCCAGCCGCCCACAGCACCTAGCCTGGCCGGTTAGACCCAGGCCTGGGAGCACCGACTGAGACCGTTCAGCGGCCCACGGGCTGCGGAGCGTGCAGAGGAAGACCGGCCCCGACTCCGCAGGTTCCAGCTGCAGAGCACCCCCCCATGGGAGGCGCCTGTGTGTGGGCGGCCCTGGAGGGGAGGGGTGCGCCCTGAACTAAACACAGGCGCAGAGGGCCATCCTAGCAAGAAAACGGCTCCGTGATTGGAGGAGCAGGGTATCAAGGTTTGGCAAAAACTGACTTGTAGAGATTACCAAGCACCCAGGTGACATGGTGTTTTTAATTTAAATATGAGTTTTTAGCCACAGAGGTGAAGCTGGGTCACCCTTGAGCCCTGAGTGTCTGTCAGTCAGTGCTCACACCATGGTCACCCACCTCCCGAGACCAGAGCAGACTCTGGACCGAGTTACTCCAGTCCCACAGCCGAGATGCCAGAGTAGCCACGCAGGCAGGTGAGCGCCCCACCTACCTGGCTTTCTGGGCACCACCATCCTCGTGGTGGAGTCGGCCTGCCACCCTTGCTCCAGCACACCTGCAAATGGCCGTGAACGGACAGTGAAGGCGCGGGCGGGCCCCGTCCCGCCTGCCTGCACGGGAGACCTGCCCGCAGATTAACCCGCCCTGCGGGGCTCTCCCCGCCCACAGACGGCGTTCTCACGTGAACGCTGTTCTGGAACACGTCTGACGCACGGCCAAGCTCCGTGCCCCTCCCTGAGGCTGGCGGAAGCCCCAGCAGAGTGACAACGAAGTGAGGGGAGGACAGCAGCAGCTCGCTGGCCAGAAGGCTGACCGGGGGCCACGTACCAGGCGCTTCCACAGGCCAGTCACACACGCCGTGGCCTCATGGCCTTCTGAAGGGGGACCTACAGCCACCAGTTAAGGGACTGGGGAGGGGAAGTTCAGGGAACCCCAGTGCCATGTTGCAGGCCCCACAATGCCCCTAGCAGGGACTCTGGGGGGCTGTACTCATCGGGTGACAAGGTTCAGACCGGCCCTGGAGGAAGAGTCCGGGAAACAAACGTCTGGAGGAGTAGGTTCAGCGCGAGTCGCTCTAAGAATGCCCCTAAACCTGCTTCCCGGAGCTGCGCCAGGCCGGGGAAACAAGGACAAGACGCAGTGCTAGACAGAGCTCCGTGTGGCCGGAGGACAGAAATGCCAGTCACTGCGAGATGACGCCACCAGGTGCTGCAGTGCCCGCCCGCTCTCCGCCCGGAGAGGCGGGAGGGCAGCAGCACAGCTGGGGACCGGCGGGCGGGCTCCGGGGTCCAGGGACCAGCAGGGAGTGGCGAGGGACGGAGAGACTGGGAAGGGCTCCTGGGGTGAGTGCCCCTGCACCGAGCGGGGGGACGGGGTTTCTAAGTGAGAGGAAGGGGTCAGCGGTTCTGCACTAGCTGGGCGGTGCTGGCCGCGCTCCCGGGGTGCGGCCCCGTCCTGGTGAAGAACGCGCACCTCGGAGCCCCCACTCCCCACGCGCCTTAGGAACAGGCAGGCCCATGTACCTTTCACAGCCTCTTCCACGGGTAGCCCGACAAAAGCGGCGAAGTCGTCGGCGATGATCGAGGTGTAGGCCTGGGAGACCAGGACGAAGGCGCGCCGCCTCGTTGCCTCTGCAGCAGGAGGGGAGGGTTCGCGGTGACCAGAGGGCCGCCGTTTTTGGAACACGCATTCAGTGACACCACGGTCCTGGTCTGAGTCTGACACGCGGGAGGACCAGACCCACCGGGAGACTTCTGTTCCAGCAGGCGTGTGGCGCCCAAGTACCGCAGGGGACAAACACGCTGCTTCTACTTCCTCTCGGACAGAAAACCTCTCTCGGGCGGCAGTGGGAAGCAGACAAAAATTCACATGCACGAGACCGAGGGCCTGCGAACGCCTCACTCAGATAAACCTCCGTGGCCGTGCGGCAGGTTTCCGCGTGGCCCTTCGACCCCAGTGACACTCACCGAGTGGATGGAGCAGAGAGCACCCACCTCGGTGTCCCCCGTGTCCTCTCCCAGGGCCGCACGCCGGGTCCCCCGGGGCCAGGGCACTGCCCCGACTCTCAGGCCTGCTGGGCTCCGACCTCACTCAGGGTCACGCCCTGAACCTCGGAACTGAGCAGGAAGACCTGACAACTGTCCCAGCGTGAGTGCAATTCTGGCTCGAACGCCCTCCGCAGCCCCGTCCCCGGGCCCACTCAGAGGGGCTCCTCCACCAGCTGTGGACATGCCGGGACATGCTCTGGGCTGTGCTTCCTGGGTAACAGGCAGGCGGACATGTATGGAAGAGCCCGTGACGCACGCACGGGATGTCCTCTGCAATCCCGGGACACTGCCCAAAAAGGACGCCAACCCCTCTGGCACCTTTTGCTCAGGCGAGCCCCCCCGCCCCCTCCCGGCTGTGGCTCATGCTGTGGCGTCTCCTGTCACGCCCTCCTCTCTGCTCCCCACTGTTCCCGGTCCGTCCCCAAGGTCCCCGCAGAGCCCACACCCACTGCCAGGAGACCCAAGCCCGTGTCCCACCCATAAGCCTGCCAACGCCAGGCAAAGGCCCCTGGCCGACGGGTCCTGCTGCTGTCAGGACACGGAACCAGACCCTCAGGCCCACGACTGCAGACGGGGAGGGGAGGCTGCTCCCTGCCCCGTGGGCCCCAGCACGGCCCTGTCTGTCCCACGCTCCTCCTGCCTTTCCCTCTGGTCACCGCCTGTGCCTGCCGTCTGGCGACTTGCACCGCTCGGTCTTACCACCCTGAGAGAATCACCACACCGCAAAAGCAACCTTTGCCTCTGCTCGCCCGCGGAGCTGCCGGCCCTCACCGGGCGCAAACACCCGGTCAACTCCTCCGGCGCGCCGGCTCCCCTGAGCAGGAAGGTGGGTAGGGAGTGCAAGTGCCAACCACAGGAAAAGGGGGTGACGGCCTGAAAGGAGGCACTCTTACAAAGGCGCGAGCCAAGAAGACTGGAAGCAGGAGCGTGCTGGGCGGACAGAGAGGCGGAGGCGGGCACGAGCCTTCCTGCACCGGGCGTGCGGCCTTTAGCGTCTACATTACTGGGCCGACTCGTATAAAATCAGCAGCTGGAGACAACACCTACCAGAGGCTGAGGTCGCAAAGTTCAAAGCACAGTTTCTACTCTCAAAAACGGGTTTAGAAAAACCTGGACCCCCACCCTGAACTCATGAGTACTACAAGATCTCACTTTACTAGCAGAAGACCCTGACCAGAGCCATTCCAGCTCAGGATTCAGTGAGAATCAGCGATGCCTGAGCCGTCAATGACATCAACAGCAGCGACAGACAGGAAGTGAAGCGGCGGGATTCTGAAAGCTGCCCCGGTCACCTAGCAAGAAACAGCTGCTCATTTGGTTCTGAGCCACAGCGCAACACTACCTCTGAGTGCTTCCATGATTGGCTGGACCGTCTCGGACCACTGGTGGGTGTTGATGGTCGTGTAGATTCCAGGGAAATCTCTCTGCCAGATCCTCTGTCCCACTGACCAAATCGCCCCAAGTTCAGAATTTGCCTGCAATCAACATTGTTATTCCCTTGGAGGATATTCACCGTGCAGACTCATCAACAACTGCATCTGGAAACATAACCTGGCATTTCTTCTCAGAGGTGTAACGACTGCTCAGCTCAGCACTACCAAAAGGGTCTTTAAACACCGAACAGTAATGTCTACTCGAGTTTGATATATATATTTACTGTAGCAGCAAACTAAGGAGTGAGAATGCAGTGCAGGAACAGTGCAGAATCGAGTCTGAGAACGCTCTCACACACTGTTTTAAAGAGGTAAGTGTGTCTCACGACTACGTATACGTGACACAGACCCTGCGTTCCTGACACACATGCACTGACGTACTTCAGGACAAAGCCAAAAGCACGGTGGCGACCTCCACCGCCTCCCCGGGGACCAGGCCCTGCCAGCCGGGCCGACGCTGTGAGCAGGATGCGCACCCCGAGGAGCTGCGGGAGCACCTCCCGCAGGGCGGGGGTGGGCAGTAGGGGGGACAGCGCTGTGGGACCTGCTGCTGTACGCCAGCACCGCCGGGAGGGTGTCGGGGACTCGTGGTGATGTTCTGCAAGTGCTTAAAAATTCCGCTCCACGTTTATGCTAAACACGGTGAAAGAGCTGAAAGTAAAACTTCACTCCATTCTATCTTGGAAAAACCTTTTAAGAGGCTATTTCATCTAATCGCCCACCCACAATAAGAAACCTAAAATCTTAATTAGCAAAAAAGCATCTTAATGCTGTGAGAAGCCGTCAATTTTAGAACATTCTTCTGAACATCACTGGGTTCAAGACGCGCACAATACCAGCAAACTGCAGAGACCAGCTGAGAAATGACAAACCTGGGCCTTTCCGGAAGCTGGTGCAGTTGTTCAGCTGCTTAAGCGACACTTTCATGAACGGCCTCGAGAGGCCTGGTCGGTGGGAGCTGAGCACCTTCAGCATCCCCGGGAAGCTAAAGTTTCTGCTTAAGGGGACGTGAAGATCTGTTCTGAACTTCAGGACCAGTTTAGCAACAATCTCCGTGGACACGTGGGAAAGAAAACGAACTGTACGAGGGAGCCGTCTGAACGACTGTCATTCTTGTGGTAAAGTAGCAAACAGAAAGGGTACTCACCGATTTTATAGCGGGTGGTATTCTTTTCCAAAGATATCTTGCATTATTCCTAATTTGCACCCCCCCCAAGAAAAAAAAATCATCTCAGTAAATGTTTACAATTCTAGATCCTAATACAAACATGCAGAAGTATACTTTAAAATTTATGAATTTGTCCAGGGAAAGTAAGAGTAGATACACAGATTAAAAAGACATGAAATAACATTTTTCGGACTATAAGATGCACCCCCCGATTTGGGAGGAATAATGGTTGTTAATGCTGCTGTTGTTTTCATTTACATTGGTAAAATATTGTTATTAAATACTGTACCATATTTTTTGCTTCAAATTTTTTTCCCTCTATTTTCTTCCTCTAACAGGAAAGACCTAGTGCATCTTATGGTCCTAAAAACACAGTAGTTTAACCCAAATAACATTTTGCCATTTGTAGCAGATTTTTTATTGATGATCCAGATCTCAAATTAAGGTAATTGACAGCACATTAAAAACAGACATCTAAGCAGAGCTGCCCAGACGACTTGCTCATCTGTAAAAACAGACAAATGCGCCCACCCCCCACCCCAGGGCTCTGGTGCCCAGGCAGTGCGGACGCCGACGGGGCTGTTCCGGGACCAGGCCCCACCCCCACCAGTGGGCACTGAGCCACCACAGCCTGAATCACACATGGCAGCCAGACTGTAAGAAATGAGATAGTTTACATAATAAGTGTGTAAAGAAAATCTTGGTTTAGGTTTTTAAAGGATATGAAAAAAATTTAGAATTTAAAACAATTAACAGTACTCATCAATGGGTCATAGAACTATGAGGCCCTCTTATTCCTTTGTACTATGCTTTCTGACTTTTGAGCATGAATTAGGATTAACAAAAAACTTTTAAAAAATTTCACACGTGCTGGTAGTAAATTCCTCTTAGCTTCTCAACCTCCCCTCTCAATTTCTCTCGGTCTACTGATTACATGTGGGGTGAAGTAAGTGAAAGTCAGATGAATGTTTCATAGAGAAAAAAAACGGTCAATAGAATTAAAGGAATTTTTGGGGGGGAACTAAATAAATAGTAATGGAAAAAATACAATAAAGATAACTTAAAGATAATTTAAAATAAAATAACTTAACGGGGTTTCCTCCAGGTTACTAAAATAGTCTCAGCTGCCGATAAAATAGTGGCAACTTTTATAATGTTTCAGTTTTATTTATATTCCACTGATATAAATAAAAGCCAGAATCTGCAGCCAAAGCTGTGAATAAAGTGGACAATTAAACTAGGGAACAAAACTTTGATATAATCAAGTAAGTTGTGACTATTAGCACAGTGATCACGTTTCTTTTTATGTGGCTCATAAACTTACTCCCAGGACATGCTCTGAAAGCACCTCGGGCTGTAGGCGGCCGCTGGAGAGAGCGTGTTTTCCTGGAAGCCGGTGTTAAAGGGACAATTTTATTTCAAGTACATTTGTTCGTGTTTGTGTGTTTTTGATCACATTCATTTAATAACATACAATCCCATTGGTAAAACTAGTTAAATAGGGAAACATGTCTGTAAACCACCACCCTAACAAATTTAATGTCCTATGTTGTTTTGTTGTATCAGTCGCTTCTCGTAAGTACTACTATCTTTTATAAGATAGAATTTTATTCTGAGGAATGCATTTCAGCTGTCTGAAGCCCCATATAAAAAACAAATGAACAGAAAAACAGTGACAAACAAAATCCCACCTGTAGGCTGGATAGAGTATTCATGATTTGCTTTTTTAGATGAGTTAGTAAATGCATAATTGTTCAAAGTAAAAAAAAAAAAAAGGAATTTGAAAGTAACACTGTAGTTTCTCATAACAAACTGAGTATTTTTAGAAGGTTTATATAAAACACATGTATTTTAAAATTCCTCAGGCTAATCACAATCTGTGGTTCACTATTTGACACCAATGCAGTGAGTGTCACATAAAAGACACAGCACCTGTGCCTACACTGCAGTGACCATGCTTCAGTGCAAACCACCTCTGCGCAACCTCGAAGCTGCTGCTGCTGCTTTCGGTGCAGGTAGAACGTACTCACATGTCATTGTGGAGCAGATACAAAGCTAGAAGCTGTCCATACACTGGGGGTGTAGCAATTCCTCCGGGAGCCTGGAAGGCCAACATGAAAGGGAAAAATCTCATTTTCTCATACTAAAGCCCAGAATATTAAGTTTATATTTGTCACTGACAGTGACTAACCTCCTTCTGGGCCTCAGTGTCTTTATACGTCAGAAATATTTAAATGGGATCCTCCTCCCAGTTCTCAAATTCTTACATAAATGGTCTTACTATGATAAGAAATGAACATTTCCAACAGATTCCTAAACCCTTATGATTCTGCTTGGTATGTCAAACATGTTGAATAATGATAATACACAGAAAAAAACATCACAGTCGAGGTACAGGCAATTATAACCTCATTCAACTGTAATTCACTAAAAAAGCTCTATTAACTGCCTGTTAGTAAGCTGCTGTTTAAAAACTCGTTTTTATATTTGCTTTTTAAAGTGTCTTTCTAGGGAAAAACCTCAACTCTAATAGCCGCATGATGTAACTCTCACTTCTCAATGAAGACAACTGGGTAAGCTCCCGTGCTAACGCTATGTTCTTATGCGCTAATAAAAGGTTCCAATGGCTACTTACTACATCTTCTTCTGTGTGCGTGCGCATCTTTAATAAAATCCACACGCCCCTACCTCCCCCCCCCCCCACCGGGGAGGGTGCTTAGTCTAACACGGGCAGCGCAGGGGGCGTTTAAGGAGCAAGATACACAGGACTCTCAGGCTCACTCACTGAAGACAAACACTAAAAAGCTCCCAGCGAATCCGTGGGGATCAGGCCAGATCCTCAGCCTCCAGACCAGCCCGCGGCGCCAGACTCCAGGCGCCCAGCCCCCGAGCCCCGCAGGCGCCCGCCTCCAGCCCCGCCCCGAGGCCCCAGGCCTTGTTACCCTGGAGACAGGCGCCGCCCGGACCGGCGAAGACCCCGAGGTTTCTCCCAGCAATACGTGAACGGTTACCTCGAGCTCCTGGTTCTCGCACTGATCCAACAACTTTTTGAAACTAAAGGCACCTTCTGCCATCACGGCCACGGGCATCTTCCCAGCCGGTCGCGCCGCAGCACCTTCCCGGTAGTCAGACCCCAGACTGTCTCTCGGGGGCGTCGCTCCCGTGATGACGTAAGCCGCCACCGCGTGTGTCCCTGCGCAGGCGCAAAGTCGGTTCCGGCGTGTGGTGGGACGTCGCCGCGGCCGGGCAGCGGGGCGCTGCGCCGCTCTGGCCGGCGCTCTCGGTGCTCGGGAGGCCTGGCTTGGCCTCAATGGGGGTTGTGGCGCTGGATGCGCGCGTCCGAACCTTGAAAGAAAGGGCTTCAGGGCACGTTTGAGGGCTCTTCGGTGCCTCTCCTGTTTGAGGCAAATTTAAAGGTTTAAAGCGGAGCATTGGTTCTGCCCCTAAACCAGCTCCTTCAGTTCTGCCCGTGTCTGGAAACGGCACGCGGTCCTTCCACGTGGGGGACCCCTTCCGAAAGCAGCCGCCCGCGCCCCCGGACCTGCGCGACTGCCTCGCCACAGCGGCCACGTCCATCAGATCGAGTTCCCCGCCTGCTCAAAGCCCTAAAATCCAACGTCCACGCCTCACACGCAGGTCTAATTCCCACGCCTCCCCGACTCGCTCCTGGCCCCCGTGGTTTCGGGCGCAGTCCTCCCCGCTGGCCGATGGCAGACTGGGTGTTACCTGTTTACAGGCCGGCTTGGGCGCTTCTGCCCGACCGCCGGGACTGAGGCTTAGAATCGTTCTCTGCTGCACTTGCTTCTATGCCTGGTGGGCGCAGAGCCAGTTGAAAATACAAGACCCCTGGTTCGAAAGCCGAGGGTAGGGAAGGTGCCATTAAACGCAACAGATTTCTCTTTTATCTGCAGTGTCTCTCAACTTTTCATGACGTTTTTTTATTTGCTATTTACAATACTCTAAAGAAAGAAAGTTAATTTAAATTATCAGCCTGAATTTTACCACCTATGTTTATATTGCACAGCTGGTTTTAAACACAAATACGGGTGCATTGTAACTCACCCCGGCGATCACAGAAATCACACCGTTTGTATTAAAAACCTAGTACGAGTACATGTTTTGTTCTTTTCAGAACCATAAAAATGCCGCAAACAACTAACTTTTTATACACTTCTTTTCACGCACCGGCCATACCAGCGTTTTCCACCTTGGGCTTTGTGATGAGCAGGAAGTGAGAGGAAAGCCCCCCCCGCCCCGCCCCCGTGTGGTCTCGGTCAGTTCACCCAGAGGGCCATTTAAGCGCGCTGCAGGGGAGGGCACGGGAGGAGCCGGAGAAAGACTGAACGCGACACCACTGTCTTGGTCACGTGTTTGAAGGTCAGGTTCCAAGGGAAGATGGGGCCTCTCAGGGCTGCCACTCAACTGTGCACACAGCAGGTGCCACGTACTCACGTTTTGTTCTGATTCGAGCAAGACACACATGCACGTATTAGGTTTTTAATACAAATGGTGTGATTTCTCTGGTTTCACGTGTGAGTGAAATACTCTTATATTTGTGCTTAGAACCGTCAGAGCTCATCATGCCATATAGAAATGGACGGTAAAAGTCAGGCCGATGATTCCAAAGTTTTGCTTAAGGAACGGTTTCCAAGTGGAAATCGTTGCAGCCAGCTATTCTTTGGATGGAATATAAAAATTTTAAAAATCACCACAATAGCCCCTCAGAGCATTGATGATATTACATAGGAAGGTGTCCAAAGAGCTAGAATAACTCGAGAATAAAGCCACAGTTTCATCGATCATACAAAGAGGAAGGAAGATGGAAGACAAAGTGATTCCAAGATCATGTGGCATCCATCCATCTGAGGGGCAGGAGGTGGAACTTTCAACATGGAACGATGGCCCCCAGCCCAGGTTGGGTGACGGAGGATCCAGTGAGCTCCACCGCCCGGAGAAGGGATCATTTAAACAGGAAAATGATCACTGTCAGGCTTTGGCGGGGACTTGGGCCGCTGAGAGGCGAAGACTGCTGGTTAGTCCTCGGCCTGACAGAAAACCCACAGGCAGCTTTGGAAACGCAAGCACAGGTCAGAGTTAGAGTTTGGGGATGTCTGTGAGGACCAACTGTTCTTTCACAGGTACCGGAACTCTGGGGTTGGAGAGTGGAGCTAACGAGGGGAAGAGAGAGTCGTAGGAGAGAAGGGAAGAAGGTTCCTGGGGTGGGGTGGTAGGGAGCAGCAGTCAGGCCTCAGGGGAGACTGTGGCCTGGATTTGGAGAACTCCACGTGGCAGTGGGGGACTGATGGAGTCCCAGGGACGTGCGGGCTGGTGGTCCGTGTTGAGCTGCTGCCCAGCGGCGCTGCGCCTGTCTTCACCGCCTGCACAGTCAACAGTAGACGGGAGAAGGCGGGTTGCGATCAGGCAGAGTGGTGGCAAGGCGGTCGTTACAGGAGGTGCACTCGCAAGATGAAGGTGTCACAAAAGCAGGGCAGGAGAGAAGAGGCCCCCGGAAGGAGGTGGCTTTGCTGCGGGGAGGAGCCGAGTGTGTGGGCAGGAGGCTGTGGTCCCCGCTGCTCAGGAATAGGAGGGTCAGCGTGCAGAAGGGAGGTGTGGGCACCTGAGGCTGGAGGAAGCAGGTCTCACACCCGTGCCCCTGGCCTAGCCGTCTGCGCCTCCTGGCCCTCCCCTCTGAGCTCTCGTTGGAGGCGAACCACCCTGGGGGAGGCTGGGAATCGGAGCGTGGCCAGTTCAGAGACCTGGAATTTCACCTGCTTCCTAAGAAACCCACTAAAAACGATCAGAACGAAGCAACGGGGTAAGCAAGGTTTCAGGATAGAGGATGAATAGACACAATCAGTTATATTCATGTACAGTCATAATGAATAAACTGAAATTAAGAAAACTTTAGCATCAAAAGAATAAAGTAAAAAATTCAACAAATAATTTGAAAATTGTGTACTGTGAAAAACTACGAAACAGTTGTTGAAGTAAATTAGACTTACATAAATGGAAATACATCCCTTGTTCGTGAATTGGAAGATTTTATATTATGAGGGCAATGCTACTCACATTCTGATTTAGTGCAGTTCCCATCAAAATCACAACTGGCTTCTTTGAAGTTTTTGACAAACCATAAATCCCTGTAAAAATCCAGAGACACAGAATAGACAAAACAATCTGGAAAATAAAGACTGATGAAACTCCTACTTTCCCTTTAAGTCAAAACCTAACTGCACAGCGCAGCAGTCAAGACAGCGCAGCCAGGCAGCTCAGCGGCGGCAGGAGTGGACACATGATCAGTGGGATCTGTCAGGAGTCCGGAGAAAACCCTTGCATCTGCTGTCAAACAGTTTTTGGTAAAATGCCAGCCCCACCCCAGGGGGAAGGACAGTCTATTTAACAGTGTTTCCCACACGCAAAAGAAGGAAGTTGCGCCCCTTCTCCAACCACATCACATAATGAAGCAAAACTGCATCACACCCTCCAGGTAAGAGCTAAAGCCAGAAAACCGTGAGAAGAAAGCACAGGACACCTCTTCACGGCCTGGGATCAGGCTTCTTAAATATGACACCGAAGGCACGGCAACAACCAAGAAAGTCAATATGTTGGACGCCACCAAAACGAGAAACTTCTGTGCTTCAGAGGATGCCAGGAAGATGGCAAGAAAGCCACCCCAGAAAGGGAGAAGGGTCGCAAATCTTGTCCTGGGCAAAAGACTTGGATTGGGAGTAAATAAATGACGCTCACGACTCAAAAGCAGAAAGACAAATAACCCAATTTAAAAATGGGCAAAGGACTTCGTTATTTCTCCAAAGAAGAAAAACACGTGGCCAACGAGCCCCCGGAAAGATGCACGGCAGCAGCAGTCTGTGCGCAGGAGGACATGGCGGGTCGGGGCCCTCACGCACTGCGGGGGGGCCATGGGGGGGACAGTCACGTGGGGTGTGGCTGCTGTGCAGAACAGTCTGGCAGCTCCTCTGCGTTTAGACGGAGAGGTGTCAGAAATTCTACACTTGGGAGTGTATCCAAGAGAACCGAAATTATGTTAAAAAACAAAATCTTGTGCACAGATGTTCACAGCAGCATTGTCTATCATAGCCCCAGCATGAAAATAACCCCGATGTCTGGCAACTGACAAACACAATAAAATGTGGCCTGTCCGTGCAGCGGAATATTGTTGGGCAATTTGGCAACGGAAACACATGGAATACACATGCAACAAGGCTGATCCCGATAACATTGTGAAGTGAAATAAACCAGTTGCGAATGCTGCAAGGGCGTAGGATTCCATTGATATGAAATATCCGCAATAGGCGAGTCCACGGAGACAGATGGTGATTGGCGGGAGGCAGCAGAACGTGGGAGGACGGCTGGGCCACGAGGGGCGGGGCATGGCTGGGGTCTCGGGCAAGCTGGGTCTGGGTAGCAGCAGCAGGGACGGGCCAGCCACGGGCCAGCCCTCCTCAGTGGCAAGGACCCAGGCTTCCAGCTCGGGTGGCGAATAACCCCAGAGCACAGGCAGCTGCCTCTGTCACGGGTGGCCAGGCAGGGAGGGAAAGGGGCGCACTGTTAATTTCCCAGGCAGCAAACTGTCAGCGGACGGGAGCGGACTGAGCGGCGGATGAGCCGGGACTGGGGGTGAGGACAGGAGGCACCACACACCCTGGGCCGGGGGCTGGGAAGGGTGTTCGTGTCTGGGACTGGCAGGTCTCAAATGGAGCTTTGGCAAAGTTACCCCGTGGGTGGCAGGGCAGGTGAGGCTGTGATGTCGAAAAGTACACTGAGCCAGCACACAGTCCGAGCCACCAGCGTGGCCTTCTACCCAGGCCGAGTTTCTGAGGAAGTTGCTGGATGCGAGGGAGTAAACCGGGGCCTGAGAGGGCAGGGTGACGTCTGCGCAGCAGCAGGAGCCCCTGCACTGGCCCAAGTGTCCGGGCGGACAGAGGGGCCCGGAGTCGTTGCCAGTCGAGGGGATGTTGTGAAGCCATTAAACCCATGAACATCAAGCCTGTGAAAAGTAGCTTTCGGGAAATAATGTTAAGAAAAACCACAGACAATAATACTGTACATATCTCTTAGTTATGACTATGTCCAAGACTAGACTTATGGGTAAATGTTGGAACATAGAACTGAAAGCTATTGCACAGTAAAGGGGGTTAGATTAGGGGCAAACTATT